TACAATTAACCTCCCTGTGGTTCGACCCCGGTCTTGCCAGGTTATTTATTACTTCGACACTCCTGCACTTGGGAGAAGACAACAATCTTTTCGTCGTGTCAATTTACCTTTTTAAGAGACAAGCTTAATGTGTATTTATCCCCGTTGAGCTTAAACTGACATATTATAAAAATGTATTTTGCAAATTACAGCATACCAATAAATATAATTATAAATTATGATAAATTAGTAAGTGTAATTGTATCTAATTTAATAATTTAAATTATTGGATGAAAATGGTTGTTTAACCATATATATATATATATATATATATAAATATGTACATTCACACATCAATGTCCAAGATATTGTCCTTTTCTTTTGAACAGTTCCCGTGTTTTCTTGATTCGAAGTGGCGTACTGGACTTTTAGGATGCTTACATGTATATTTTTTTAGTATTTTTCTGTAGTTGATTGTGCATATATTCATTTTTCCTTTGTTCTATTCTTCTTCACTTGCCTTTGTAAGGTCAAGAAAATAATAAAATATTAATAGGTTTTGAATAAAACAACGTTAGTTTGTTTGGAATTGCTCATGATAAACCACTTCCTCGTTCCTCTCGACCTACCCTACGGGCAATGTCTCCAAATTCTTCTTCTATTTTGATATCCACTGAATACCAACCTACCTTGTCAAACAGCTGTTTTGTACCTTGTAATATATCTTATGTCTCTATCATGAACCTTGAGATATTTAGGGAGGCAAGTAGTCAGTAGTCAGGTCCTCCTCTCTTGTCCTTGTGCTACTCTTCATTTAGGTCAATTGTCAGCTCCAAGCCGGTGCTTTCCATCTCCACTGTTAAGATGACTGCTGCATGGCCGTTTTTTATTACCACTAGTTAATCATATTATTCTGCAGTTGGAGAGAAAAAGGGAACATAGAGAGTTTGTCTTCAATGTGGGCATAATATCCATGCTCAATAGGTTACAGAAACAGACAAGAGACACAAAATCGCACAGATGCAGTTGGTCTAAGGTGCTGCATTTTGATTTCAAATCTAATCATGTTGTAGCCATCTCAGGTTGAAAAGCAAGAGTTTTACAATCTTAAAATTTCAAGACCGTTGACGTCAAGTCTATTAAGAGTTTTATGCTTGAAGCATTCCTCCACGAAGCATTCATGTGTTGCACGGAGTAGGTACAATTTCAAGGAATCAGGCCTGCGTTGCACAGCCCCTAGTTTAACAATAGTTTAAACAATTTTCATTCGAGTCCAGAATCAGTGTGAATTACGTTCTTCCAGGAAGGAATTGAGCAAAAAAACCATAGTTTAACAAGGTCCCCCGCATGAAAAATCAGTAAGACCTTAATCAAAGGTCATTGTTTCTGCCTCGTGCCTGATGGAATCAAACAGCTTCGAGGAAATATAACGCTCCCCGGCACTAGCAAAAACCACCTGATTGGCAAGAAAATAAATGGCATTAGTAGATTTACAGTGCCTTCTAAATGCCACTTGAAGCAAGCCCATCTGACTCACCACGATGAGTTTCCCAGCATTTTCCTGTCTCTTGGCCAACTTTATAGCAGCAGCTGTTGCGGCACCAGATGATATTCCCACCTACATGGAAAAGGACTGGTTTTCATCGTAAACAGAGAAACACAATGTCCATGAAAAGGAATCTTGAAAAAAGTTTAGTAAATACCAGCAAGCCTTCTTTCAAAGCAATCAGCTTGGTAGTATCAATAGCTTCATCACTCGATACCTAATGTGTGATAGCAGCACCATGTAAGTTTAGTAGCACGATTCCTAAAGAAATGTTAAAAAGATTACCCTCTTATGTCCATTCTACTGGACCTCCAATCACCTCAATTAGACCCAGTGTCTGCTTGTTTATCCTGTACCCAATTATTAATTGAGGACCGAGATGGAAAACCTTTTTTACAAAAATTATTACAATTTTCTTTCATGTTTTCTTCTCATAGTCTCGCCATTAGCATTCAATTCAAATTACAAGCGCAGCCAAAGGAATGGCATTTCAAGCAGATAATTTTAAGAGTTATCAATTGGAAGGAAATGGTTTTACTTTGATAACTTCATCGAGGAGGCCAATATCCAAAACAGGAGGAACAACGCCAGCGCCAAGTCCTTGAATCAGATGTGCACCTGTGACGAAAAAGAAAGCAATGCAGCCATTCAGGATGCAATCAAATCACGAGAACTTTGCAAATTTTGAACAGGCTTACATGAAAATTGATGTAGTAACAGAATTTTAATCACGCTATCTCAAGAAAAAATTAACACTTTCAAGCATGAAGCAATTCAGAAATTACCAGGTTTTTCTCCATTCAGGACTGCACTTTCTGCTGGTTCTACACCATAGACCTAGATGTGAAATGAAAGAAAGTCATGCAATGAGATTATAGGACAGATACCTGCTCTTCACACATACAAACACACACTCCCCGGAAGAAAACCTTAATCTCCGGTTTTTTCTCCTTAAGAAATTTCCCTGCTCCAGTTACTGTACCACCCGTCCCTATCCCAGCAACCAGGACATCAACTTTTCCTGCCGAATCTTTCCATATCTCAGGGCCTGTGGTTTCATAATGAATCTGTATAAATGAAAATAAAGTGATTCCTAAATCTTTTCGACCCAGCAAAGCATATTACAAATACAGATAGGAAGAATACCCTTGGATTGGCTGGATTTTCAAATTGATGAAGCATGTAACCATTAGGTGTGACTTTTAGTATCTCCTCACCCTTTCTAAGGATCTCCTCAAAGCCCATGGTTGGATCTGTGAGATGCAACTCAGCTCCAAATGCCAGCATCACTATTCTTCTCTCTATACTTTTTGCAGCTGGCATGATAATGATAACTTTGTAACCCTTGGCTGCAGCGATGGATGCTAATGCAATGCCCGTGTTGCCGCTTGTAAGTTCAATGAGGACAGTCTTCAGCCAATTTGAAACACAAACAACCAGAAAATAGGGAAATCTTTAGTAGAAATCTTCAACAATTAGAACTAGCTATTTGGCAATTATCCTATGATTTCGACCATTCATGTGCTTGCAGTATTCAATATATTAGCTATATACGGGTTTCAATTTGTCTTATTAAAAATGAGTAGAGAGTGGATATCAGACAACCAGCTCAACAGAAACGTGTTCAGATTTAGAGAACTTTGTTTACTTACCTTCCCCGGAGTAATTAAGCCCTTATCTTCCGCATCTTTGATCATACTATATGCAATCCTGCATATTAAAAATGGAATAACAACTGCATTTATTTCACTAATGACAACAAGGACTAAAAAGACACTGGAATTCTGAAGGTAGCATGTTGTGTACCTGTCTTTAACACTGAAGCAAGGTTCCATCATCTCAAGCTTGGCAGCAATACGGGCTACGCAACCATCCAAGATATTGTTGAGATATACCATAGGGGTATTTCCTATTAACTGCATAACACCACAGAAGAAGGAAGATGCTCACCATTAAGAATACTAAGCATTAAGACAAAGCAGAAGTGATACAAGTAATCCAGAAGAAATTTACTTCAGTGACATCTTTCTTGATTGCACACTTGTCCTCCATATTCCTTTATAGAAAATCTGAAAGCAACTAGTCAAGGTAAACACATCGTCAAGTGATTGTGCACAAACCGGTCCAATAATTTAAAAAAATACCGCAGTCCCTTCAAACTACACTCTCAAAAGATGGTTTCGTATTGCTTCCAAGCAACAAAAACTTAAAGAGGCAATAATTGTCCCAGACAATAAAGGAATTACTTGAGATCTTTGTTCTGTTTTCATGTTCAAAACTTCAGCTAAGCATCAACACGGATAAAAAAAAAACAGATATTTCACTAAGACCCACTAAGCGTCACAGCTGCCACATGAAGCAACATCTCAAAGACATTTTTCTATAGACAACTTCTTACAACACAGCTAGTGGTGACCAAGATTTATGGAAAAAATGCCGTGGATTATTGAAACAAAAAAAATCCGTAAAGGAATAGATCAAGAAACAGTATGCAAAGTTCCCAATAAAACCACAGAAAAATCATCAAGTGAACAACCCGTAAAACGCCCAGCAACAAAAAATCAGTCAAATAATGCAGACACTGGGTTAATTTTGTTGAAAAAATCAATAACTATGAGCATAAATGTAGTGCAAACCAGAGCAAGAGCTAAGAAGCTTCGAAGTTTCAATTTCTTCTGAGTAAGAGTTACGCAGAGTGACATCAAGAACTCAAAAGTCAACAGAATCATAGAACAGGGAGCAAAGTAATGACCAGCAAAAGGTCAGCTAACCAGTACCAGCACTAGAAACAGTTCAATGATGCAGGTTCTGACAACCCAATAGTACAATATCAAGAGACAATCAGCACAAGCAAAGCAACTACCCAATATCGATCGCAGTACAACGATGCAAGACTTGACAGCTCAACAAAAGCAAGAAAATAAATGAACACGGGGAAGATATATAGCACATGAGCAAGATGTACTTCTACGTTTTATCTAAGCAATTCAAAACAAAATTAGTAAACTAAAGACAAGACGAGATGGAAGTGGAATCAGTCCTTACAGAAACAAGAACTGTACCAGATACTGCCTCTGCTACTGCTATCCTTTTCCGTTGACTAATGTTTGGTTTAAATCATCCATTTGCTTTTCTATTTTTCAAAGTTATTCAATTTTGCCCTTTTGTCAATTTTGCTTCTTTACCACATCCCCCGCATTCGTCGCGAGCCGGTTAAATTCTTTTTTCAACACAAGAAAGTGAATGTGAAAGCGTTTTCAGATTGGACATGTTTCTCTGAATATGAGAAAAAAAAATTATAATTGAAAATTCTTAAATGCATTTAATTGAATAAATTAAAAATTATTTATAATAATAAATGTAAAAAACAAAAAGTTATTAAAGATAACTAAAAATTAAATGACAAAAATTAGAAAATAAATATATATCAAGATATATAATCTTGTAACATGGACAATATACCTATTTATATTTAATAACTTTTAATATAAATTATTAAAGATTAAACCTGAAACAAAATTATAAATAAAATCATGGATACAATAACAAAATTTAAAAAAAATTAAATTTTGATAAAAGAGTTAAGAATCAAAAATCAAAATTAAAGCATCAAAAGTCAAACATGAAATATCATAAAATAAGAGGATAAATTTGATATAAAAATCAAATGTTAAATAATAAAATTAATGAAAAAATTAAAAAAACAAGGACCAAATGTTATAAAATTAACAAATAACATACTATTTTGATTTTTGACCGTGTCTTTAAGAATGAAGAAAGAAAAAACATCATAAAAGCTGCATCGTGTAAGAGACAGAAGCAATTATAAGTGCCTCGCTACCATGAAAAGAGCGATGATATGCATCAAACATCATTCAAAATTTGGTATTCAGCCATCAAAAGGTGCTAAACGCAATGCCTAGATGACACTGATGTCTTCTACTTACTGACTCTGATGTTTCATATGCCAACACCTTTATATATTTTAATTAAATGGTTGAAATGCCTCTGCAGCAACTCATTAATTACTAAAAAAAATCATATATAAAATGACAAAAAAACCTTTCATCATAACTTTAAGAAAAGTTAATTCAAAGGGTAATTTTAGTATTTTACTAATAAAAATATTGAAATTTCTTAAAAGCCCCTCACCTTTCTTTTTAATTAATTTATCTTTGGTGGATAATTAAGTAATTTTACCATGCAACTAAAAAAAGAAAAGTCATAGAAATTTAATCCCATGGAAAAGAACTTTTTGCCCTTAGAACCGGATGATAAGTTTTGTGTTGTGAGGGACAGAAAGATAATTTCACTACACAGCAAAAGGCAAAGAGGACTGTAATGAAAGCATGAAAAGCTTTAGCTTTTTCAATTTTATTTTAATTACGTAAACAACCCTTGACCACATGGTCCAACCATATCGGACAGCCAATACAGAACAAAGGTTTCACATGGTTCATTACATTAACAACTCTGTTCTTGAATTTGATTCCCATAAACAATCTTCTCTTATTCACACAAAAGTTTTGAATCTTTTTTCTTTTTGTTACATCTTGAATCCTTCTCCGACAACTTGGTTCTTGACTTGCCATGGTAAAAATCATATTCTACTGGGGCCAGCAAAAGGGTTGTTGGAGAGGCAAGCTAGCTTTATTTAGCATGATACTGCACTTTGGAAAACAAGAAAAAAAGAGAGAACGTTGGGCATTCTTACCTCCAAGTGATCAATGGCTGATCAAGAAGGCTAGTAGTCTAGGTTAGTCTTTCATTGCACATAGGACGTTTTCCGGTACATCGTGAAATGTTTAGCGGGTATGCGTATAAACTCTGTAAATAAGTTACAGTCTAATAAAAAGTTTCCCTATTTCTAATAAATTTAGCTTGCTAGCACCATTCGAGGTAAAATCTGGTTATATGCGTCGGCAATCTGACAGTCCTTACAATCCACAAGTGTTCTTGTGTCAAGCACAGGCTCAGGAAGGAAAGTTGATGCCTCAGTCGAGTGATAAAATCTGGTGCAGGGAAATTCCTCGAGGAGAATAGGGGAACCGAAGTGAAGTACATACAACATTCGAGAATGAATTACAAGATGCCTACTAATCTTCTGACGAACACTGATGAAGCAAAAACTAAGTACCACTTATCAGATCAATATTTTAAAACACTGATCAGACATGCTTTAGTTCTGCTAGCAGTTTGATTTTCATGAAATCATTCTTTATGATCTTGCATTTCCCACTCTACCTCGTGGTTTCATCTAATGGTCTTTTTGTGTCGTAGTGTCAAGTTGCGCGTCTAGGAAGAAGATTATGAGATATCCCACCTCGCAGAAGAAGGAAATGGGCTAGAAGCAATAGGTTATAAGACCCAAAGCAAGCTCAAATGACAAGCACGCAGCCGCGCGGTGAGAACAGAGCGAACTATTCTTTCGCCTTTTACTAAAGAATACCGTGTTCTCGCCGTATATCTCGGCGTCCGCCTGTTTTTGGAGGGTTCTCTTCCTTCGAAGGAGACCCCTGACAATCCTAGCTCAAAATTTTGCCTTGCAAATCTGAAATTCTGGCATAATATCTATGGTCTCATAGCTTTATCCAATAAGAATAATCTTCTCTGGCTTGTAACTGATGTTTGGCTTTCGTCTATTCCAAGCATGATGTCGGGTTTTGACATGAGCACTCCTTGGATTCAAAACATAAATAGCCTTCCGCCCAAAAGGTCTAAGGTAAATTTTTATTATGTAACACACATCAAACCATGTCCAGATTCATGACAAGAAAAGATATCATAAATTGATATATGGGAAACGAATGATTGCTACTTCTTTTTCTTTATCGCTACTTATACGACCTCTACCATTAAAGTGCAAGTCATGTCCTTGCTCTGAAAGTTGTCTCAGATTCTTGCAAATACTAGGAGCACATAGCACCTCAGAGATATAATTCAAAAGGTTGTCTCATACTCAAGAGACTTCCTCATCGGTTGTTATCGATTATTGAAACAAGAAAAGGTTTTCGATTCATGGGAAAATCCCAACGAAGGCCTCTGATAGTCTAGTTCTTTGATTTCCTTCGAGGGCTCACAAAACTCCAACAAACCAGCATGGCTCAAGATCATTAAAGCGAAGTTTGAAAGTTGGTGCTTATGGCAGGTCATTTGCCACAGCCTCAAGGTTTATGAGATTCGATTCAAACTGATATTGAAACAAATCACCCAAGTATATCCCATAACGAATAAAAAAGTGATGAGACAAAGGGTTGAGGGTATAAATAGGAGACATGAAGCAACGTTTAAATTTACTTACCTGGACGGGATCAATGGGCGATCAGCAAGGCTCATGGTCTAGATTAGTGACCTCCACTGCACTTAGGAGGGGTGCTCGTCTAAGGTCTCCCCAAGCTGGGAGAGCCTACGTCAAAATTTGTGGTAGAGGGGGCTGCGCAAGTCGCGGCCCCTGTCAACTCAAGTCATCAAATTTGAGCTATAAATTAGTGTCTTCTGTGGAGTATGATTTGTTTTTAAAGCTTTGAAAGTTTGCTTCTGTCTGGGTTGTTTTTTTGTCTTAGAACTCCAGGAGTTCGAGAAAGAATTCTTGAAGTAGGTTTTGACAGGGACATAAACGTCAAACTGTCTTTCTAAAGCCAGTGGACAAGAAATCAGAATGAATTTTTCAGGAAAGAATTCTTGAAGTAGGTTTTGACAGGACATTAACGTCAAACTGTCTTTCTAAAGCCAGTGAACAAGAAATCAGAATGAATTTTTTTCTCATATTGTTCTTACTGTTTTTGCACTGTTTACCTGTTTGTTTCTGGTTCCATCAATGGGGTCATGTATTGAAATGTGGGCGTGTTAAGGTGCTGTGGTTCAACATAGGCCTTTCCGAGAGGTCTCTTTCCACGGAGAAGGGCATTTACAATTGTTGTTCAGAGTTCTGCCTTACCATTAAGGGACATGGAGTTTTGGTCCTAATGGAAGAGCTTTTCTTGATCATATAGAACTCTGAAACACAGGATTTGTAAAAGCAAAGACCAAATCCTCTCCGGCCAGCAAAAGAACAGTACAGGAAGCTATGATATAGCAATCTTGTTACTGACAAACAGTTCCAGTCTCCTATTAATAAATTAATTGGTTGGTGAATAAGCTCTGATGAATTGATAATAGCATGTTGTAAAACAAGACCAGTAGAAAGGTTGTTGGAGGTGAACTCAACGCCGGCTCATGTTTGTTTGACCTATATCTCCCACATTGGTTACTCAGGAGAAGAGACAAAAGGGCTACGCGTATCAATACAAAGCATGAAGCAACAGTGAAACATACTTACCTGGACGGGGTCCATGGGCGATCAGGAAGGTTCATGGCCTAGGTCAGCCATTTCCATTGCACATAGGATGGGTGCTGGCTTAAGGTCTCCCCAAGAGGGAGAGCCTACGTTATAATTTATGGTAGAGGGGGCTGCGCGAGTCGCGGCCCCTGTCCAGTTCTAGTTCCTAAGCAATTAAGTAATATTCTTCTTACAGGTAATAAATTTTATCCAGCTGAAGAGTGTTTGAGGTCCATTCTTGTGTTCAAGAACTTGGAATGGAATGCTTCACAAACTTCCAAAAACGCATGTCTAATTTGCTCAAATCATTCAGAAACAACCATTGTATTGGGTGTCTAGTAAAGTGGGTCTGTAGGAAAGCCTCTGAGGTTGCTTGTTTAACCAAAAAATCTCTTTCCTCGTTGCAGCAGCTGCAGTGGCACCAGATGATATCCCTACCTGTGGGAGCAATCTAGAATGGAAAGTGTCTCTAGCTTGGTCACTTGATGCCTGTTAATAGGACCTTGAAATTAATAGAAGGAAAGTTCAGCAAGAAGTTGTTGGACGTGCAAATCAAATCCATAAGAGTGCATAAAGGGAAAAATCCGTTGGTGTTCAAATCACAGTTTTAAGCACTGATCAGACATGCTTTAATTCTGCTAGCAGTTTGACTTTCATGAAATCATACTTTACTGATCTTGCATTTCCCACTCTAGCTCTTGATATCATCAAATGGTCTGTT